CAGGCCCAAAACCGTTTGCACACGATTGGTTTTATTAAAGAAAACTTGGGTTTGAACCCACAAACTCAAACTAGAGATGAACTGAGCAAAAGCTCAAACTGCAAATGATATGAGCTCTTCTATAGACGTACTTCAAAAGAAACTTGAGAACATGTCTTTGAAGTCCCCTTTAAATCCAGATGCCTCCATTTAAACAGACCATATAAGACTTTAAATATGCATGAACATGCATTTGGGTCTTAGATATGAGAGAAGAAACAATAAAGTACATGTTAAACCAGCTAACGGTTCCTTATATGATTATTTCGAAAATATATTCCTATGAGTAAAAACCTATTTGTACGCACTGGTGCACCTCGAGAGCCTTCTATGAAAAGCTGACCATCATTCAATGCAAGAATATCTTATCTTTGCGCATTTTGAAAATCCTTCTAATAAATCACTCCAACCATTTCAAATTAAGTGCCCTAAACCAAACAAATCACAAAACAATAGGATAGTACTGTACTTCCATAATCTCCAGTGAGTAACATGAGCCCAAAGCTATAACAAGAAGAGAAAGGAAAGAAAGGTGAGATTCTAAATTGTTGCACTCGCACTACGTCTATAGAGAATAACTTGACCGTTAAAGTCTAACTTTGCGCTTCATATCGCATCAATATGGTTTAGTGGTCAGTGAACTTGACATGAAAATAATAGGCTTTGAATCTCAACAATGACAAGAAAATATAGGTGATTCATTCCCATCGGTGTAAGACCCTAAGCCGTGGATGAGCAGAGTAACCCGGTAAATGTACTGATGGAAGGATGCAAGTACCTGTGGAACAGTCAAGATGCGCACAAGCTAGCTCGGACACCACTCTGTTAAAAATATAATTAAAAGGATAACTTAGTGTTTCATAGAATGACTTTATTTACTAAATTCCTCCATAACAAGGAAATGGAGAAATGTATATACTTATATTTATAGACCAGCTAGATTGCCTAATGTAGACATCGGTAGTGGAGGAGCTAGCTAGGAGGAAGAAGGTTGAAAATTGAATCCCCTACGCTGAAAAATTATATTGTGTACAAAGGATAAAAACTAGTTTGTCCATTATATATACATCATAGAGTTCCCTTAACATAAAGGGAAAAATCTAGCAAAGTGTCAAAGAGGATTCAAAAATTGCTGTAGGTCACAGGTTCAACTCCCATGTATGATAATCTCGAATACCCTTATATAAAATCTTGGCTCTGCTACTAAACACCGCCCTAGAGGTTTAACGTTACTCGGAAACAATATCAAACTTCTCAGTTAAGTACATGTAATGTCTAGCTACAACCATTTCTCACTCTCATGGAAATCAAACCCAAAAAGCATTTATACATGTTAAAGCAATAAAAAAAAAAACAATTCCGTGAATCGGTCAGCTACACTTCAATTTCAAACAAATTCGGGCCAGCTATATGAATCCTCTTACCATTCAATATTAGAACATTTATCTTAGTTTGATTATTTTTGTGCAGGCAGTCAACGTGCTGCGACCCTCCTTGCTCCTCCTTTACCCGAGCTTAGCCAAACAAGGAGATTATAATCACAGCTGAATATGAGTTCGAATTTGGAATTCTACCACAATCTATTTGATTTACTGAGTTCAAAATTTATTATTAGTACTTATTTAGTGAATGTTTTAACACATATACAGAATCAGAGCAAAAGTTATTGGGTTAGAATGAATCGTAACTAAAGCACTACATCTGCCATAATAAGTGGGAATTAAAAGAAATGGGTACATCCAGTAATTGCAAAAAAAGACATCTTGAATGTACCTTGTTAAAGAAGATCTGACCACTAGAGAGGGCAATATAGAGAAGTATGTATGCATAAGTTACTACACCTTCGCTCATCAATTTTCTCCGCTGATCCGCCATAATTTAGTCAACACGTACAATGGCTGTGGCTGTAGTAGGACTATAGTGTATTTCAACTGTTTGATAAAATGACAAAGAGAAAATGAGAACTAAGGGAAACAGACGAATAGGAAGATATTTTGGTAGAGTGTTGTGTGCTTGAATTGAAGGGTGTGTATCATTGGCCGATGATACCCTTCACGGAAAAATACATTTTGTTATTCATTTAATGATATATTTATTTTTATATATTTTGATACTAACTTATGTGTATAGTGATGGAAACTTTAGCTCGCCTTGACTTAGCTGGATCCGTTGCTTGTTTTCCCAGTTTCCTATTGCCCTCCATTGTTGCATATATTAATATTAATTAAGTATAATAAAAAGAATATCCTAATGAATTTGTGATAATCACGAGTTTGCGAATCTGAGATCCACTTGGTCTAAGGATCGATCTATATATATATTCTATATTATTTTTATAGAAGTATGAATACTATGTTGGTTTATTAAATAAATATTATACTTTTAAGTTTAATAACTCATAATAAAAGGACATAACTGGAATTCTAGATATCAGTCTTATAATCCAATTAGTTTTAGGACATAATACAACACGTTATAAATCCTACATAATTACCTTTAGGAATCCTATTAGAATAATTATTTTCGGTTTGTCTAATCCATATAAAATTGAACAAGTAAATATATTTAGTCATGTAATCATATTACTTTTAGAATATACTTCTTAAAAATCTTATTGCCAATTTGATTTGAAAATGTATTATAATGTCCTATTACTAATTTAATTTGAGAATGTATTATATTGTCCAAATCCATTTAGAAAAATGAGAGCCTATATTATTATAAAAGTATAAATATAATATTAATATATCAAAATTGCCCTAAAATATTAAACAGAAGAACTCATAAGGAAAGGACATAGCTGCAATAACCTATTTTTTGGACTACAATATATCCTATGCTAATTTTTAATATTTAAAATTTTAAAATTAATAGAATTTTGTCTATTAAATTCTTATTAAAAATATGTAGGAAGGTTTAATAAAATCAATTTCATACGAATCCTCCGTATTGACAATACATTACCACTACATAATGTCCAATACGAAGAAAAAATAAAAGTAATATTAAATAGAATGCATAAAGAGTTTAAATTGAGAGGAAAAAAATACCCCCCAAGAGCAAGGTGGGGAGTTCTTGGAGGAAAGGATGCCGATGGTCTATTGGAAACAGCCTCTCTACCCCAGGGTAGGGGTAAGGTCTGCGTACACACCACCCTCCCCAGACCCCACTTGTAACGACCCAACCGGTCATTTTGACTTTTAGAACTTCGTTCCCTTAAATAAAACTTCTCGTATCTGCTTTAATGATTTATGACTTGTGGGGATGGTTGGTTCGAATTTTGGAAGTGTTTGGGTTGAAATCGGAACACTTGGTTCCTTAAATTGGCTTTAAAAGGCCAAGTTTGACTTTGGTCAACATTTTAAGCAAACGGACTCGGATCAGTATTTTGACAGTTTTGGTAGGTCCGTATCGTGATTTAGGACTTGGGCGTATGCCCGGAATCAAATTCCGAGGTCCCTAGCCCGAGATATAGAATTTTGATGAAATAATTAAACCAATTTAAGTTTAAATAGTGATCGGATATCGAATTATGTGCAAACAACCCCGGAATAGAATTTTGATGATTCCAACAACTTTGTATGGTGCTTTTGGACTTAGGAGCATGATCGAAATTTTATTTGGAAGTCCGTAGTGAAATTAGGCTTGAAATGGCTAAAACAAGAATTTAAGTTTGGAAGTTTGACTGGGGAGTTGACTTTTTGATACCGGAGTCGGAATATAGTTCCGAAAATTTTTATAGCTCTGTTATGTCATTTATGACTTGTGTGCAAAATTTCAGGTCAATCGGAGTTGATTTAATAGGTTTCGACATCGAATGTAGAAGTTGGAAATTTTAAGTTTCATTAAGCTTGAATTGGAGCATAATTCGTGGTTTTAGCGTCGTTTTATGTGATTTGAGGCTTCAAATAAGTTCGTATGATGTTGTAGGACTTGTTGGTATATTTAGTTGAGGTCCCGAGGGCCTCAAGTGGATTCCGGATAGTTAACAGATCGAATTTAAAATTTGAAGAAGAGTTGAGGCAGCTAATATCTAGTGTGATCGCGGGTGCAAAAAATCCATCGTGGGTGCGACAAATCCATCGCGGGTGCGAAGCCGCAGGTGCAAAAACTTTTGTCGCGGGCGCGATGATCGCTGGGCAGTGAGTGTTTAAAGCGGGGATTTGAGCATTTTTGCTCATTTCTTCATTCTTGGACGATCTTGGGAGCTTTTTGAGAGGAGCATTCACCTAGAAACTTGGAGGTAAGTTAATTCACACCTTTTGCAAGTTAAATACAAAGTTTATATATGGATTTAGACATGAAAATTTGTAGAAATTTGGAGTTTTGAAGAAAAACCTAGAAATTGATATTTTTGAATTTTTCACCACGGAAATAGTTATGGAATTGGATGAAAATTATATATTTGAGTTCTTGAGATTATGGGTAACGATTCCCTCCGAAAATTTCCGAAATTCGGGCACGTGGGCCCGGGGTAAATTTTAAGAATTTTACCATTTTGGATAAGGTAATTTATTTAATAGATAAACTTCGAATCATTTAGCATATATTAATTATTTTGTATAATATTTGGATAGTTTCGGATTTTTCGGCGTCAAATCGAGAATTCAACGCGACGTGGTAATCGGAAAGTGGACTTTGAGATGAGGTAAGTCTCTTGTCTAATCTTGTGAAAGGGAAATTACCCCATAGGGATTAAATTAAATAATTATTGCTAATTGTGGGGGCTACGTACGCACGAGGTGACGAGAGTCCGTGCGTAGCTACTATTAATGCTAAAGTTCGGGTAGTTTAGGACTCAAAGCATGAATTACTTGTGTAAATTGTATTCTTTATTAATTAAATTAATTGATATGTATATTGTGAATTGTTATGAAAGGTAGTAAACGATAAAATTTTCATATGCTTAATTTTTGTTTAGATTAAATAAATTGTTAAAAGAAATTGTTCATCCTCTCGAATTTATCTTGTAATAAACATACTCTCATTCCCGGAGGTACATAAGAAAAATGTCATCCTTTCTTGTGGGGCGGGCCGAACGCCTCGGCAGGATAGATGCATCTATGGATCGTGTCGCACGTCCCTCGGCAGTATACACGACACTCTGGATCGGGCCGAACGACCTCGGCATAAATCGTGCTTAATAATAATAATTACACGATACCTTAATAGTTTATTTGAGCTTGCGAATCTAATTGATAAATTGGAGAATCCTTGGAATTTAATGAATTATTATTCCTGCTTGTTAAGAAATTAATTGGTATTCATGTAAATGAGATTAATTGATAAAATGGAAATTATTTGAATTGAAAGAATTTAATTAACATATTGAGAATTGTTGCATTTGAAGGAATTTGATTATTTCTGTTGGTTAAATAAATTATTGTAANAAGCACTAGGTTTACTTAGGTCTCACAAGTCATGAGCAAGTCTAGTAGAGTCTTGCGGATCGGTACGGAGACGTCTGTGCTTATCTTCGANACAGATGTGTGGTTAATAATTATGGGGACATAGGTGAGCTACATTCTATATTACGATCCGCAGCTAACAGAGTCTCCTTCGGAGTTATTATATTTTCCTATCTAATTTGTATTCTGGACAGATGCTGTATTTTATTTTAATTCCCTAGTAAATGCTCATGCACTTGTGACACCGAATTTTGGGAATGGTTGTGAATTGTTTAGAAATTTAGTTGCTAAAAATATTTATCATTTACTCTATGAGTTTTATCTTTACAATTTCATTGAAGAAATTTTTATTTTAAAAATACTAAAATGGGTAATTAAGTTAATTGATTATGGTTGGCTTGCCTGACAGTGGTGTCCGGCGCCATCACGGCCTTTTTGGATTTTGGGTCGTGACAACATGGTATCAAAGCACTAGGTTTACTTAGGTCTCACAAGTCATGAGCAAGTCTAGTAGAGTCTTGCGGATCGGTACGGAGACGTCTGTGCTTATCTTCGAGAGGCTACAGGGCTGTTAGGAATACTTTCCTTTTTGATTCCTCATCGTGCGATTCGATTCCTTTGAAGCTTATGCCTACATTTCCTTCATATTCAATCTTATGCGATGTGAAGCGCTTGTTATAAATTGGGGATCGAGATTTTTACTGGTACTACAGATGTAGTACAGGATACTTCTCCCTGTGTAATTAATTGGGCTATTGTCGTCGCCTTGCGAAAGGCCGCTCTGTCATTTCAAATTAAGTATCAGTACTACCTAAGGTTTTGAGACTTGGCATTGATTGTTATGACGATTCGTGTGTTGTTATCGCACAGTGTTTATGAAATGGCAAAATGCCCGTCTATGTGTCAGGGCAGTAAACGACTTGAAAAAGGTTTTCTCAGTACATGATTCAGAGGTTCCATGTTTTAATTCCGGCGGAGAAAAGGCAATCGGACTATGAATGTTCAGGTTTGGGGTTGATGGAGTAATGAAGCTTGATATTTTCGAGTGTGGTAGAGTTCTCAATTTTGATGTGGTGTCATCGCCTTGTAAAATGCGTTAAGGTTCGCCAGTGTTATGGTTTTCTTCAACTCGCCTTCACGACCTGGTGTTAGGAATCGGTATAGGGGAAGAAGTCGTTAGAGATCGCGGTGTGCAGTGATTCAGGATCGAAGCAGCGTTTCTAGTATTGATGTCTCGAGAAGGATGATCGTCAGAAAGGTTTAAAGCTGGTAACGAGCTATTGGTTCAAGTGCTACAGAGACGGATTTTGAGTTAAGGAAACAACTGGGCAGCGAAGGATGATGAAGGACATGTGGAAGGTGTCTTGCGGTGGTTAGGTTCCGAAAAGGCCAAGTGTAAGAAAACAGAAGCAGAGTAGTTGCTTAAAGGAGATGGTTGACAAAAGTGGGAGAGTGGCAAGGTAGCACATGGGTTACGTGGTAGGATGATTACACGTCTTGAGAAACGTTTGGAGTGATTTGGGATGTAAAATGGACAATGACTAGGTCTACGGACTTAAGTTGTAATATTAGCTGCTATATTGAGGAAAATTGGATACAACAAGAGGGAGTTGCTTGATATGAAGAAGGATACAACATGACTTTGGAT